CTGCAAGGCCAGGCATGGGAGGGGGGAGTGGGGAAGAGCAAAGGGGGATGACGGGGCGTGATGACAGGCGCGGCCTCGCTGAATGCGTGCTCGAACGGTGAGTTGCGCTTGGGGAGTGGCGCACAGGGCGTGAGACCTCACCAGTGACGCCACGGAGGGGGGAGAAGGATGCACGGACCAGGTGGGATGATGACAGCATTGGTGATGACGATGCGAATGTTGATTCGGCGCTGAAGGCCTGCGGAGAGGCGCGTTGTACTTCACATCGGCGCTGGGCTCTTGAGTGCGACCGCTCTATCTGCGCTATCAGGTCTCTGGTGCAAGGCATATTGGGCCTTCACACAAGACCATCACTCGCTCAATATAAAATCGCGCATCTGTTCGAAAGACGATTGAATTTTGTCCCTCGATCAGTTCCGATGCCGCCGATGAAGACGTTGCCAGTGTATCACGGCCGCGGAACAACTATTACTATTGGACCCGCTTGAATTCCCTGGCGTCTTCCCCTCGGCGCTAGCCGCACATTTTTTGAAACAAGTGCTCGCGCTCGAGCGTCTCGGGGGTGCGCCCAAACCGGCCCCCTTACGCTACCTTTCGATATTTCCTCGGCTTTCGCTGGGAACTGGCTGTTTTGCCTCGGCCTCTGGCCCCCTCGGGGCTCCCCTCCGTGAAGCGGTCGTGCGTTCTTGGACCTGGTGGCATCTTACTGACCCTGTGATCCATCCTGGAAGCCTTGAAGCCTCGCCGAGAAGCTCTGATCGGTCCATGGGGGCGCAAAGATAAGCGAGCATCGCGCGATTATCTTCGCGCCCTCGCGTCCTCGCGCCGCTTCCATGGAAAAGGGTAACCAATCTGGCCGAAACCGCGACGCACGATACGCGATTATCTTCACGCCCCCGCGGGTTCCCTGGGCCCCCCAGGCCTTCCGCAAGAGGCTCCGCATTTGTCCCAGGCTCTGCAGGGTTTCCTCGAGGCCCTGTGTCCCCCAAAAAATCTGGAGGCCTCTCCCAGGCGCCCTCGGGCCTTCCGCGGCCGATGAAGAGGAGGAGGAAGAGGAGGAGGAGGAGGAGGAGGTGGTGGTGGAGGAGGAGCGACCGTACCAATCAGGGAAAAAACGAGGGCAAGCGGGCAAGACGCGAGAAGAGGGCAAGTGCCCCCGCTCCAGTTCGTCTCAGGCTACGGCCTCATCGCGCGCAGTGCAGCGGCTTGGCGCTCAGTGCCAGCAGTGTAAAGAAGCGCGGCGCTGGGCGCGGCGTGCGTGATGATGCGCAGTTTGCTGGAGCAGAGGAAAGAGCGAGGTAACGCGAGGAAGTAAAGGAGGCGGGGGCAGGTGAGGTAATTGCCGAGACGATCTGGGCAAGCATCGCACTTGAGCAGACAGGCGCGGCGCGGGCCGAAGGGGAAGCGGTGGCTGGTCCACCGCGTTCCCGCCAACGTCTTATATACGGCCCAGCGGATGGCTGGGGCCCTCTGCGCGAGGTGACTGGCAAATTCCTGCCGGCGGTCGGACAGACTCCGTGGCACTACGAGATCAAGTAGCGCCGATGCGAGACGGCGTGCAAGGGTCTCAGCAAACTCGTCGGGGAAGAGGGAGGAATGGAGGACCGAGGCGAGGGGGCGCTGGACCTTAGCGCGCCTGGATTCTTGGGCAGCGGCAGTCTGTTCATCTGCGGCCGCTCGCTGAGCTGCGCGCCAGACGAGCGGCGAGACCGAGTACGGTGGTTTGCCATCTGCAAGCTCGCGCCAGCACTCGACGATGCCAGGGCACTTTCAAAACGCGGGAGAAACGGTGGCCCGAATACGGGCCTGGGCCGAATCCGCCAGGGTCAGTTCTGGGTTGAGCTTGTTTTGAGCAAATACTAAAAAGCGACGCAGTGGCCTCCAAGCCGGGAAGAGCGACAGATGCCGTGCGCCACGCCGAGGCCAGTGAAAGCGTGATCAGTGAGTTGGGGGAGGACGAGGACGACCACGAGCGAGTACCGAGGAGGTCGACGAGGCGCCAGGAGTTGGGGAGAGACCTGAGAATCTTATGTAGGGTGCCACGTTCGCGCCTCGGGAACGTGGCTGGAAATGGAAAATACTGCGTGAGGTACGAGAGGACAGTGATAGCACACGCGCTGTACAATTTGAACGCCACTGCGGGGCCAGGAGCGCTCGCCGCTAATTGTACAACGCGCAACCAGTATTATCAAATGCGGCTTTCCATGTGATGTCTAAAGTAACTGCTGGGCCAATGAGCACGCCTAGATAGCGCGCGTATTCTGCAATCTGAATGTGCTGCCACTCAGGCACTAGAAATACTAAGAGGCGTTGAGTGAGGACGTGCGCGGCAGGTGAACACCAGGGATGGTAGGGTCATGTGCAATCTGTAGCTCGACGCACGCCCGTGCAAGTTCTCTCGCACCGTCAGTATAACAGTATTCTAACTTTTCACCTGGGGCTTTGCGGTTAATCCAAAAATTGCATACGTGAGTCGCAGATTTGTCGTGCACACCCTGTGCTGCCATGAAATCTGCTGCCCGGTCGCGAAAAGTCACGCGCGCGGTCTCGTCGTGGAGCCCCCGCGATAGGTCATCCATCGCAAGCCAGTGATCCATGGTGGTCAGGTGTCCGAACGTTGTGGGTTTCGCGCATGGTCTCGGCGCCCTCAGTCCTTTATTTTGCGCTTTCCTTTGTTGGCCCAGTTACACGCCGAGCAAAAGGGGTTCGTAGGAGTATGAATTAGCAAATGTGAGAGGGAGGCCGCGCTCTTTTTGAGTCGCTCAGTCGCCGAGACTGGCGCCTCAACCTCAGCGCTATCTGGGCCCTTCTCCCGAACCCATATCTGCATCCGCGTTTTGACCAGGTGCGGCGGCCGATGTAATGGAATCCGGGCCGCGATCCGTGTCGCTGGGCAAAACTCCATAGACCCCGTGCCAATAAGGGTTCTCAGACCTGGCCGCGCAACCCCCGGCTATGCCGTGGCGTGATTTCGTACAACCAAAGATTGCGTCGCGATTGGCAGCAGATGAGGAATTTACAAGACTCATGACGCCTGTTGGCGTTTTGCCCCAGCATTCGCGAGCTGTCTGAGGCGAATCATAAAAATAAGTGACTGTATCCATGGAGTCTATAGCGGACGGAAATGAGCACTCGGCCGTTGTTGGCCTGCCATCCGCGTAGCCGTGGTTGCCGATCATCTCATGTGTGTGCAAGTCTATTGTTAAGCGACTCTGAATGGAGTGGGGCGGAGGACCTCCCGCAGATTCCACGTCACCCAGAAATGTCTTGGCGCCTGACGTCGCGCAACACCGCCGCTCGGGAGCGGCAGGCTGTCCGGCGGCAACCGCGCGCATCCACTGACCCAGTGCCCCTCTGCCAGAAAGGGTCAGGCATGGTATCTTGCCCTCGACGATCAGGTCTACTCTGTGACCGTTGGGCAGAAGTAAGTAGGGTCGTTGGCCCGCTGGCCAAACGAAACTGAGGCCGCGATCCATGCGCCGCTCTCCTACTGAGATCGCCGCCAGCGTCTCCGGCATGAAGGATGCTTCAAAATCCCCACCCCTGAAGTTGGGGCACGCGACGCAAACTGAACAAGGGGCCCGAGAGAAACCTCCGGCAGTTCAGGGTAATCCAATCATCTAATATCTTGATCATAACCATTGCGCCTGCAGCTCGAATATACCTCTCCGCAATGAGGTGTCCACAGCCTGTGTCTACTATGAACCTAAGCGAGCCGAGATGCACGGGTGACTTCTCCCTGCGCCCCGCAGCGGCTGAGCCACCATGGTCGGCTCCTTCATTTTCTTGAGGCGCTAGCCGAAGATGCCAAACTTCGTCGGCTAAATCAGATGCTATGAGCTGCGCGTCCCTCAACGATGCTCCCCATTCAGTCTGCATTCGTCGATATTCTCCCCTTGGGAATGTCCATCTGTCGTCGACACTCGATGGCGGCCCCCTTGGGCTGCGGCGACGCGCCTTCCTTCGAGTAGTCGTCGGCTCACGAGTGGAAGGGGTGGAACTTAACGCCCAGTCCGCATCTACCCGTCTTCGCAGGTCTGATGCAACTTGTTCCCTGAGGCTCGTCACAAAAGTACAGGATGGCCTCCCTTGGAAGAAGATGCAATTGAACTAGGATAGCGACGACTTTCGTCCGTGTCTCTTTGCGTTCTTGTTGCGTTTCGGAAGCGGGAGCAGCTTCTTCGGAACATTTGTCAAGATGAAGTGAACATGCATTGTTGAAGTCAACCTTGGCTGGTCGCCCTTCTGAATTGTTCTGTAGGCCGCGAGATCCCCTAGCCAGCGGATCAGGGCAGGCAGGGAGGGCTCGGCTGGCTGCGCTAGGAAGCCTATGCTTGCCCCTTCCTTGTCGGCTTGACCGATGGGAACATCGTGCCCGCGTTGCCATAAGGCGAATGAGCATCAGCAAGACAAGAGAGAAAGGTGTGACGATCATCTTGGCACTGGCCCATAGCATGCCAGTGCCTGGCCATCGTCGCGGATGGTTTGGCGTGTTCTTCGCGAAGCAACGGTCTGTGCCTCGTGAGCAAGCCCATGTCTCGGTGAACACCCTACATGGTTAATATTCCCCTTTTCCTTTGCCCTTGTCTTTATCCTTTCCGCGGCTTTACTCGACCCCCTACTTCTCGGGGTCACGCCTGGCGCAGCATCGCCAGCATTCGCAGCGGCGGTATCGGCTCGTCTAGAGGTTCTCCGGTAGCCTAAGGACATGCCGGCCTTGAGCTGTGCTTCTTCGTACTTGTCGCGTTTGACTTTGTCAGCCTCAGACAATCCTCTGCGCTGCTTATAGCGCCCGCTCTGAGGGCCCTTGCAGTTGCGAGGGTCTCGCGACCATGCGTAGCACACCATATTGCTTTGGCGTTCTCGCGAGGCCTCCGACTGACCCCTCGCCCGCGACTGCGCCGCGTTCGAGATGCCGAATTTGTTCGATGGAGTCGAGGAGCGAGGCCGGTCCATCCCTTTCGGGCCTTTGCTTCCAGACCTCTCGTTCCTGCCTCTGC